GTTGTAGGCACGACATAGGGTGGCGTGGCAGGTTGAGCATATTGCATACGCTGTTGCGTAGGCCGAGCAGCGACGGTGGCGTACGTGAGAGGCGTTGTGACTGGTGGTTGCTGATGCACCGGCGGAAGGGCTTCAGCGACTTGGGTCCGAATGACGTGTTGGAGGTCCGGTGCCAAAGCTTGCGTGGGCTCATGTGTCAGTGGCAGCAGTGACAGCTGGCGCGCTACCTCTTCGCGGACGAAGTCCTTGATTGTCGAAAGCAGCGGCTGCTGGTCGGTAGGATGGGCAGCTAGGTGCAAGCTTGCGAGCGTGTCTGGCGTCGTGAGGGCTTGACGAGCAATTGCGCGCTGCCTACGCAATTCACCGAAGCTTTGACAGAAGGAAACGAGGACAGCAATGGTGGGGGGATTTCTCGCGAGCAACATCTGAAAGGCGCCGTCGTCAATGCCTTTCAATATGTGCCTGATTTTTTCTTCCTCAGGCATGGTAGAGTTGATGCGGTTGCATAGATGCAACACATCTTCGATGTAGCCCATGTAGGTCTCGCCTGGTTGCTGCGCACGGTGACGTAAACGGTGCTCGGCTTGAAGCTTGCGTGCCGCAGGTCGTCCAAAGACGTCCGTAATAGCCGTCTTGAATGCAGACCACGTAGTAATGTCAGCTGCGTGGTTATTAAACCACAGTTGCGCGGTGTCCGCAAGGTAGAATGTGACGTAGCCCAGCTTACTTGGGTCGTCCCATTTGTTACTTGCGGCGACTTTGTCGTACCTCGCCAACCAATCTTCGACGTCCGACTCAGTGGAGCCCGTGAAGATAGGAGGGTCTCGTTGAGGATACACGGCACCGCAAGTGACATGGACGGTCGAAGGTCCCACCTGGAGAGGCGTCTCGGTGGCCATGTTCGTGTCACGTAGAGGGGGAAGCTTACGAAAGCGAAGTTCCAGGTTTGTACGGGAGTCCACACACCTCCACCAGATGTCACTCAGTTTATTCACGTACAGACCTACTGGAAGGCCGAGGAACGCCAGAAGAGCGAGGAACGCGAACAGGCCGAAAATACAAAACAAACGCAAGCTCGGGTCGCGCGTGCACCAACGCTGTGGCTTGCCGTTTCCTGCTGCTTCGTCGTCGTTCGCATAGTTCCCTACAACTATAATTTTTGTGCAACGGAGAAGCATCCGCTAAGCCATATATTCATCGTTCTTCGGAAAATCGTGGTACCTGCTGCGCACTGGACATTCCATGCACTTCGTTGACGCTGTGGCTCACTACGTTGAAAAATGATGCCTAAGGCTTTTGTAATGAATTGGAAGCACTCAACGACGTACTTGTTCACCAGATTTAAATGCGAAGCATTTCTTAGCGAACTTCGGTAACTTTGAGCGTATATATATATATATATATATATATATATATATATATATATATATATATATATATATATATATATATAACCGCCTACGTTTGGGTGTTTTCTGGTCACCCCCTTATCTTGGCGTTAACTAAAATTATCATGGGAGGTTAAGATGGTTTGACGAATATGACGCGCTGGTGAAGACATGAATAATGTCACAACCCCGCCGCGTACATTGTCAAACACTTCCCGCCTGACAGTGGCACATACCGATGGACGGGTATGTGCCGCTTGTATGCGAGTATGTGCCACAGGTGATTAACACTTAGAATACACCCAGAAACGGCGAGAACACACATGGCCAGTTTTAACGCACGAGCGTTAAGAAATGCCCGGCATTGGCAGCGTCCACCCGACAAATAAAAAGAATAAATGTCAGGGTCCCAGCTGGAATTTAACCCAAGCATTTTGCGTGGCAATGAAGCATTTTACCACAGAGCTACGCCATGCAGGTTTTGAAATTACTTTTTAAATAGACGCTAACCTTCGTGAAACGTCAATAGTGGTTGCAGTGCTGTCTACCGAATTTCATAAACATTACATATGTACTCCTTTGTTACATCACAGTCCATCGCGGGATCAAATCCCGGCTGTGGCGGCTGCATTTCCGATGGAGGCGGAAATGTTGTAGGCCCGTGTACTCAGATTTGGGTGCACGTTAAAGAACCCCAGGTGGTCAAAATTTCCGGAGCCCTCCACTACGGCGTCTCTCATAATCATATGGTGGTTTTGGGACGTTAAACCCCACAAACAACAATACATCACGGTCAAGTCGGGTTAACGTCAATGGTGGTTGGTTGTCATGCGCTGAAATTGATTTACGTAGCATTGTCCAGGGACAGCATCCTCGTGAGCACCAGCGCTTCATATCAGCTTCTGAGGTTGCTAATATGCATGTTGAAGTTGGCATCGTTGCGCAAGTGCAAACAACGGGTTATAAACATCTGCAACTCTTCAACATATGTCTGTGCGTGAAACATTTTTGCATATATTTAGCGTCATTTTATGACGTGTCACTGACTAAAAAACTGCAACATGGTCACCTTCCCTCCGCATGCTTCGCATAACGTTGATTCTTAGGTGCATAAGATCTGCCTTTTTTTTTTTTTTGCAACCCATGGCCGGAAAGCTCGTTTGCTCGAGCGGGCGATGTTAATTGTTGAAGTCTGGGTTCCACAGAGCGCCGATAGAGGCGTGACCCAGAGGGATGTTCGCATGGAGGAAAGGAATCCTGGTTTTTCATGCAAAGCTATAGCTGGCTAGGTAGACGCACAAAACCGTGAGCACGTGAATCACCAAGTCGACAAGTCTTTTCAACGAAGGTTCAGTGGGCGCTCCCGTGATCTCCTCTCCAGCGTTGTAAATATACTTCACCTCTTCAAAAAACGCTGCTGAAGCTCGAACACCAGTCTTTGTATTCCCGTACAAGTCTGCCCCTCTTTCCATTCAAATGATTCGCCAGGAGCAGCCAACACAAAACACGGGACGCGGGGGTGGTTGTTTGTTTACCCGTATGACGAAGGCATAATTAGTATGCCGTAGGGTGACACGCGATTCAAAATTAATTTTGAATATGTTCTGGGTGACAATATTTGTTCACATTTCATAGATGATGTGTGTAGCTACACAAATCTGTTTGACAGGTTATCTCGATTTCAAAAATTTTGTTTCAGTACTCTTTTAAGGGAAAGAAAAAGGGAGCGTCTCACAAACATAAAGAGTGGTCTCATAAACAGTGGTCTCACAAACAAACGAGACTCAAGCACTGATCTCCTACCCCCCCCCCCCCCCCTGCACCTCCTCGCGTTTTACAAGAATGGAATCTTTGAAAATAGAAACAAAGAAAAAAGCGCATGAAGTACTATAATAATTTCGCTTTTGTGTGTGTGTGTGTGTGTGTGTGTGTGTGTGTGTGTGTGTGTGTGTGTGTGTGTGTGTGTGTGTGTGTGTGTGTGTGTGTGTGTGTGTGTGTGTGTGTGTGTGTTCGTTGCGTTGTGGCACTTGCATCATAAGTCGCTGAGCAGTGTCCCCTCATGGGAGATGAATTAGTGCCTTTCTCGTGTGTTTCATAAATCCCTACATGCCATTTTGACTTACGTAAATTACCCACCTGTCTGTTAATAAAAAAAGAAGCAGTACATTACGCACGAAGACTGCGAGCTCCATTTGCCCCTATTTATACCCATTGAAAAGAAGCTCCTCCATTATTCAATTATTTATTAGTAGCCTCAAGGCCGGAAGGCAGTACACAGGCAAGTGGTACATTTCATAATAAATAAAAGATTACCTAATACTTGGGAGTGAAAACAATATAAAGCGTAGGCAAATAAGGAATAATACCTAGCAGACATAATAGCATCGCTGTGAGAATAAAAAGAAATGAAATGTATTGTGATACAGTGTTAGCTATGTGAACAAGCAGGGCGCGCTGAAGGAACTTATATTCAACATGTGTGCTGAAAAAAACAAATCATTTACGGAGCGTTTGCCAGTCCTCTAACATCTCCGTGCTGTTCTCTCGGGAATTACTGTTAAAAGTACTGAATTTCGGCCAAATAAGCAAAGAAAGCACAGTACAGTAGTTTTTCCTTTTTTTTTTTTTTTTTTTGAAATCGTAGTTTCGGTTTCAACGCCGCCGCCGATCGTTTTGCTCGGCGTACGGCTACGACGCTGCCGGCGACTCGGAACGACCTCCACGCCGCCGCCGGTCGAAACCGCCTCGGCGCACACCTCTTCGGGTACGGAGGAAGGAAAGGTGACCACGCACATCACGGAGGAAGGAAAGAAAGTGACGACGCACACCAAAACGGCGTCACTTGCCAAGTTTATCTGCGCGCGGAGAACAATTCGCTCTGACACGCGGCAAAAAGCTAATCACTTGCAGTGTGCTGCCATCTATTAACGAACGTAAAAATCAAGCGGCACAGTTTGGCCAAGGTTTAGAAGAGCAAATTGAGAGCCTGCGCTACTTTCCACGTGCAATGAATGTCATGGGATCACGTGCTACAAAAGCCCTGACTAATGTTACACGCACGTAAAACGAGGTGAGTTTCAACTGGAAAGGTCAGACGATAACATTTACTATCCAACGCGGCCGCAGAAAATCTCGAGAGGCTGATATGTGCACCCTGCGGGCTATAATCTGACGCGCTAGTTGCCACGTATTTTCACGAAAACTTCGCGTCTCGCAAGTATGCATCAGATTTATCGCTTCACGGACGGTCCGGTATATTTACTACTGACGCACGGAGCATACAAAGTGGTTTCTGTTCGTTGATTGCTAACGCATTAACGCTGAAGCTAGCCCAGCCGAACAAGGGAGCTGCTCAATGTTCACTGATCATTCTCGAGAAGGCGCTCCTAGATTCCGCTGGGTTCCGAGGATTCGTATTGCAAAGTACGAATCCTGAAACTCACTTTTTAAGGAAAAAAATAAATATAGTTTTTGGTTCATTAGGTATTACGGCTTGGTGGCGCTAGCCACTGCCCGATCTAAAGGGTACAGCCATATTCATCCATCCATTCATCCGGGTGGCACTGCAGTCTTTAAACAATAAATGCGATTGGCGAATACCTCGTGGCCAACAGTCGACTAGCATCGAACAACTTCTGCGGGGGAAACTGCCGAAGCTGCTTTTAGTATAACGCCGACCAGAGCCCCGGGCAGCGAGAGCTATGACAGAGGCTGACGTAAACGCGGTTTGCAATGCACTTGGGGAAATGTCTATGGAAGATGTTTGCTCCCTGAAGGAATCCAACATCCGGTGGATGCCGGATATATCATCCCTCACCAAGCCTGAAGCAATCCGATCCATCCGCAATGCAGTGCGATCGTTGGACTGCACAGCCAGTCGAGCTTCGTCCATCGCCCGGCTTTACTGCTACCTCGCTGAGAAAAACTGTCTACGCTTGTGGCGGGCGTATTTACTCAACGAGAGAGATCTGTCGGGAAGGTTCACGCTGCATCAGCGGCTGATGGCCGCTCTCGCAAATCCGGGCGTGAGCCTTGCCTACGAGAAGGTTGAGCGGGACGACGCAGTCTACGTCGTCATTTTGTCCACGTACGCCGATACCTCCGCACCGGACAACGACGTCATATGCATGTGCATTCCACGTACGCTCCCCTACGTGTTCGTTCACTGCTCGAGAAACGGGGATGGAATTAAGCTCGTTCTCGGCAATGTGTTAGTTCGCTCCAGCCTTTGGTTCACAGATTTTCAGCACCTGCAAGAGGCGTTTGATTACGCCCTCTGGAAGAAATAGGTGACGTCACTACGCATCGCAAAATTTGCCGATTTGGAAGACGGTGCGTAATCCCGTAAGCGACACTGTTTTTTACTATATTTGCCAAGGCTAAATGATGATATTGCTATTATACATTACTATAAGCCTGATAAAAACTTTCGAACTTAGAAACATAGTCAAACTCAGTTCTCCTGTTTCATACGAAGCAAGGCATTGTCGGCCTGTAGCAACGTTCGAGTTCAGTCTCATTACTTGAGCCAAGGGACAGACCATCATAGCGCACGTGGAGAGGACACCCCTTCTTATGTCTCCTTCGTGCGCGATCCTTTTTGTTGAAACGTTTAACTGCCCCGCCGTGGTGGTCTAGCGGCTAAGGCACTCGGCTGCTGACCCGCAGATTGCGGGTTCGAATCCCGGCTGCGGCGGCTGCATTTCTGATGGAGGCGGAAATGTTGTAGGCCCCTGTGCTCAGATTTGGGTACATGTTAAAGAACCGCAGTTGGTCGAATTTTTCGGAGCCCTCCACCGAGGCGTCTCTCATAATCATATGGTGGTTTTGGGACGTTAAACGCCACATATCAATCAATCAAACATGTAACTCATGTTGGACCAATGGTAGAGCGTACTTAATGGTTTCTACGTGCATTAAAAAAAAGTCAGTCTTTGTGATTTTTACCCTCCGCGCTGTTTTAACGAGACAGTATTACAACGATGGCAGTTTGTTTCCCCAATTTTCGCAGCTGTGCATGGGAATGATCTGACTGCGCTTTTTCGGTTCATAAACTTTCTTCAGAGCGCGTATCTGCGCATTCGTAGAATCGATATGAATTTAGCCTTCGCTGCTGCGTTTGCAATCTCTCGTGTGCTGGTGTAGTATTGCTTCTGCCGAAATACTGGCTCAGCTGTAATGTCATTGTAACTAAGGCCTACTATTTTGTCTTTTCCCTGCCAGACTAACAAGTACCGCAAGATATGCAGCTGCTTCTGAAGATCCCTTCTTTTTGACGAGTTCCTGAACGGATATCAATGAAACTTCGTTGCAACGTCGACAGCGGCATCAACAAGTATTGCTTCCATAGGTCACTCGTGAAAATTTCTTTGAGTGAAGTCGCGAAAGAATGAGGTTGCCATTGCAGCAAGCATCGTGTTCTAGCAAAGTGAAAATGTCACGCATCATATTTAATTCTCCTAAAGAGACCTTGAGATAATTTGCGATGTAACTTTTTGAGCACCTTATTAATATGAAAATCACGAATACCGTTGTTAATGTTTTTACGTTTCGTATGGCTTTTATTATTGTCTTTCGCCACGTGTTTTAAGCAGCGACAGAGAACGCATTCCATTCATCGGAACCACTTGTATTCTTGGACGTGTGAAGTTGCTCGTGAATTCATGATGCTATCTGTTCTAAATAAAGTGATTTTTTTTTCAACAATGACTAAATGATGTCAGTCCATTTTTTATCTTGGAAAGCGTTATCGGCAACTGTTATGGGCTACACTGCGCCATACCAAGGATCGGAACGCAGCACCAGCACTGTACACAGAAAAGTATGCTTGTTCCCTGCTACTCAGGCATGAGGTGTTCCATCAATGTCGTCCGCCTCCATGGAACAGTAGCTACTGACCCGAAGGTTGCTGGTGCGATTCCGGCTGTCGCATTTCGATGGAAGAGCAATGGTAGGAGCCCGTGTATACTGTGCGATGTCACTGCACTTGAAGGACACCGGGTGGTCGACATTTCCGGAGACCTCCACTACAGCGTGTCTCATAATTATATCGTGGTTTTGGGATGTTAAACGCCAAATATTATTACTATTAATTCTGTGTCACGCTCACGAGTGGAATACTAAATACCGACAAATCTGGGCTTAAACTTCTTGAAACGCACGTGGAAGTTAACTACCATGCCCATCATATGCGCACGCTCGCGCCACTTGCTAAAGGAGGTGATCAGCCTTCCGTTTTTGTTGTTAGGCCATTGATTGTTTGGTCCTAATACAACTCCGTTAGTCTGCTACTGCGGGAGGGGCTTATAGAATGTTGAACGTAACCGTTTAGCAAATGCCTTTACATCAGTCATATCAGTGTTGCTACTTTAAAGACCTCAAATAGCATTACTCACAAAACACCACATCTGCCACTTGAATATATAATATTTTAATCAAGAATGGTTGCTTGCTGGGCTAGCCTGAAAATTCTACAGCCAGCGCTCTTTATACTCTGTCTTGTGGCGTCTTTGCTAGAAAATTTACGCGATGTTACGCTAATGTAATTTGTTAAGTGGTCAAAACTGATGAGCTAGATGATTCCAGTGTTAAACAGAGACATGAAACCCAAAAGACGGTTACATGAATTCAAGAACCCATCAGCAGTAAAATGAAAAAAAAAAAAAGTGGTAGCCCACATACCGCTAAAGAAATTGACTTGTAATTCGGCGCTCCTCTGTATTTATCTGTCTCGCCGGTACCCTTTTCGTCGGATCCTGAAGTGTGACCCTGCATGAAGTCTGATTCTTCTGCCGAATCAGAATATAACACAAGATCTTGACTAAACAAGGGAGCTCCAGTAATAAGCTACTTACACTTAATTTAAAATATTACCTATAGCAATGGTATGTTCAGACGAACTTTAATTCTACCAGTTAACCCCACTGTCTGCCTATCCTAACACAAAAAATAAACATGGTTGATCCCTACTTCATGAAAATAGGTTTAGCCAAAAAGTAAAACATATCCTCTAAAAAGTGGTGGAACGTTTACTGTACACTGATATGATAGAGATAGTACAATATAACCTATTGGTGTTTACGGACCAATAGAAAATTCACCCTTCGTAGTGTTCGTAGCTGCTGTAGTTAGTCCCAAAAGCACGTAGGTATTTCACAAGCAGTATTTTTCTATCTGAGAAGCACTAAACAGAGATCCACCTTACCTCCAAGAACACTAAGGATTAATGACGATGTTACCAGCCCTTCTGGTGATTTCTGAAAGCTGTCGCCGTTCTGCTTTCGCAGGTGTTCCTGTACCTGTGCTTAAGAACCTTCATTTGGAGGTTTTCGAAAATTTTCGCTTCTACATTCACTAGCGCCAATATTCCCCTTTGAAATGTGATTGTTCTTTCACTCGCTTTCACAGTCGTATTGATTGTTATTTCGATACCGACATTCCACACTTTTTATTCATACATATTGTGCGAAAGAGAGTATATAGACTCGATCGTCAACCAGAATATATGTTGAAATGTAGACCTCGCCAAACACTACTCTTGGCGCTTTCACCAACCTGCTTGACTACAGTGAGCTTGAAAGAGCTTAATATTAACGTTTATTTTGAGTCCAACACTACTTTTCTGCGTTAAGGAGCACTGAACAAGTTTTTCTGATCAAGTTATCAAACAGTAACCGGCAGCAAGTTTTCCTGATCGAGTTATCTTTCTGTAACCAGCAGGCCAATCTATTGCGATTCGTTTGCTAGCGGGTAGAAATAAGAAACGACCGACGATTAACTTGTGACAGAATAAACAGTCAAAGAAAGGCAAGTTTGCTAAAAAAATTAATCGTACATAAATGAAACGCCGAGACGACACATCGGCGGCGGCGGCGCGCCGACGTCCCGGCGCACACCTCTACTAGTGAGTGGATAGAAAGGTATATATTAGTGTCGGGAACAAGGCGGCGAGGCTGAAAAAGTCTACGTTACAGCCTCTAGAGGACGCAGTCGCTCGCTGGCGCGCTTTGTTCGTGCGCGTCAGCCCACGCCCTGACTCGTTGAAACCAACTATTGTGGTTGCGGTATAAGCATTTTGTGTTCGCCACACATGGCGCCAATAAATTGTACACGAGAAAAAACATATACGTCTGGGGACTATGCGGGCAGCGTCTTCAGCACGCCACATGCGGGCGGCATATAGTATAGCACGCACAGAACATAGATGTAGGATGTTCGGGGTACCAGTTCAATAACAATATGTCTCACGCAGTCATGTTTGAGTAAAATGATAGAAATACTCAAAGACAATTATGGCGGTTGCATCAAGAACATAAAAAAACAATATGAAATAAAAATTACGTGCAAGGACAGCCATTTTGGCACTGATTAAATAGTCAAAGAAAAAGAAAGGCGCAAATCAATCAAACGAAAAATAATAATTAGGAGAAAGAAGAAATGAACAGTCAAATGGAAATCATGTACACATAGGAACCTCTCGATGTTTTGCGCCGACCCTTGCTACTTTACTGTTTCGGCAGAGCTATATGAATTGGGGGATACCATCTTCGCATGACTTATTTTGCATAACGACACAAAACAAGTCCTCTCTTTTAAATGCGAAGCATTTTTTAGCGAACTTCGGCGACTTTGAGCGTATCTATCTATCTATCTATCTATCTATCTATCTATCTATCTATCTATCTATCTATCTATCTATCTATCTATCTATCTATCTATCTATCTATCTATCTATCTATCTATCTATCTATCTATCTATCTATCTATCTATCTATCTATCTATCTATCTATCTATCTATGTAGCCGCTTACGGTTGGGTGCACTCGTGGTCACCCCCCTAACTTGCCGCGAACCAAAATTAGCATATGAGGGTAAGATGGTTTGACAAACATTACCCGCTAGTCCAGACATGAATAATATCACAATCCCGTCGCGTACGTTGTCAAACACGTCCCGCCAGACAGTGGCGCATACCCACGGGCAGGTATGTGCCACTGGTATGCGGGTATGTACCACAGGGGATTGAAACTTAGTATCTATTCAGGAATGACGAGAACATACATCGGCGATTTTAACGCGTGAACGTTATTACCCGACATTTGTAGTGTTGACCCAACGAAGGCATAGAATAAATGTCAATTTCGAAAAACGCATGACACAGACAGCGTTGACCCACCGACGAATTCAAATAACACATTAAAATGTCCCAGCAGGAATTGAACTGAAGTGTTCGGCGTGGCAGTCGTGCATTCTACTAGAGTTACTCTATATGCTACCTTTAGGTAGCATATCCTAAAGGTACCATATAGAGTAATTCTACATTCTACCACAGAGCAACGCCACATCTCGCAACTACTTTTCAAATAGGCGCTAAGATTCGTGAAGCGTCAATAGTAGTTGTAGCGCTGCCTACCCAATTTTATAAGCATTACATACGTACTCCTTTGATACAGCCGTCACATCGGGTTAACGTCCACTGCGGTTAGGTGACATTCGCTGAAGTTGATATGTGTAGCAGTGTCCAGGGCCAGCATCTTCGCGAGCATCGGTGCTTTCATATCAGCTACAGTTGTTGCTAATACGCAAGTTCCAGATGACGTCGTTGCACAAGTGCAAACAACTGGTTATATAAACACCTGTAACTCTTCAACATATACAAATACTTAGCATCATTTCATGACATGTCGTTCATTAAAAAAAATCGCAATACGGCCTCAACTTTCCTCCGCATGTTTCGCATAACGTTGATTCCGAGGTACGTGGGATCTGCCGAATTTGTTTTTGTTTTTTTAGGCATTGTGCGTAGGAAGATTTTCAATTGTGTGCGCGAGCATAGTGCGAATCATTCAAGAGGCAGCTCGGAATAATATTGCCACAGCTACCAAAATATCAGTGTCGGATCCAGGCGCGTAGCCAGAGTTTTCTTTTTCTGGGTGAGAGGGGGGGGGGGGGCACCTTTTTTTTATTTCATGAGGGGCACCCCCTTAAAATAGTCATTTTGCTCCATTTAAGTGGCGAAAAAATTTCAGGGCTACGGGCCCGACGTTCGACCCCCTGGCTACGCCCCCTGGTCGGGTCCAAGTTCAGCAAGAGACGGGTCCCCCATTCTTTAGATTTTCGTGAAGAATATATGCTGGCATGAGATTCCCCCCCCCCCCTTTTTTTTCCCACCTCACGCATTTACTTGGTAATCATGATCTCGCCATGGAGAACGTCGTCGCTGCGCGGAGCTTTCTGTGTACGCGGCAGGGAAACAATGAGATTGCCGTGTAGCGGTCGCGATGCTCGGCTGCTGACCCGAAGGACGCGGGTTCGATCCCTACTATGGCGGCCGCATTTCGATGAAGGCGAAATGCCAGAGGTCCGTGTGCTCTGTAATGGTTGCGTTCCCATATATTGTGGTTTTGGGGACGTAATACCTCAGATATTATCGAGGATACAATGGGGTGGGTCTCCTTTCAAGTTAACAATTCTGATAAAGGCATCTTTGAAGTAGCAAAAAAAAGGGAGGGGGAGGGGGGAGTCATGCTTCTCATCTACTTCTTTTTTTTTTCTCTCGTTATCTCTCTGGTGCTAACCAATCGAGCATTCCAGCCTTCCGTTACCAAAAGAAACGTCCAACTTGATATAAGCGTGTGGGGGCAGTGGTTGTGGGCGAGGTTCGATGGTAGAGGACTAAAGAAAAGGGTGGATTGTGCACCGTGATAGCGC